GTAATATTGGTGTTACTTTTGAGATTGTGTTTGGAGTGTGAGAAAGCATAACGCTGTACTTTTATTATTACTTCCCAGCATAATTGTGATATTAAAAGTACCGAGTGGGTCCCTTATAACCACGGCATGATGCGTCCTTAGGTTGCTGCTGATAGCGGTATGGACGGAAGCTGCAGTTGTTTGAATAAGCAGTAGCGGATAACCGACAAGGGGTGGTCATCCAGCTTCAAGATTAAAACCCACCTTGTTAATGAAATGTTACACAGGCCACTTCGGCATAGATGGAAGGATACTGTTAAAATGGATCTTAAGGGAGTAGGGTTTGGAGGCGTGGATTGGATTCGTTTGGCTCAGGATAGGGCCCGGGCCGCGGGGAATTTGTTGACTGACTATAAATTTGTCAAAAACACTTACATAGAGTTAGTAAATTTGTCTGCTGCAACCTGTGAAATCTGTCATACTCCTGATGTATGTCTTACTTAAATCCGGGGTTCTGCCACAGTTAAAAGGAACAAGAACCACACAGTTACATCGAGAAATGAAAGTTGCCGAACGAAGACGTAGTCAGTAATTTCGGTTGAGGTCGTAACATGGGTCTAAAGCCAAGTGTACCAAAAGCTTTGTGGGGCCTCGCAGAGAATTCCATATTTTTGTCGGTCTCGGTGAATAATAGCAGGTTTTAATGTGTACACGGACTGCAGGCATTTGAACTGATGGTTGGCTGTTGCAGCAACACTGGACTCTGGGTCAGTCGACCTTGAGAGAACGACCTTGCAGGAATTTGGTGCTAGTTTGGGTTGTGGTCCTAGCTGACTCCAGTTCGGTCAGACCACCTCAACGTTCTTCATTTGTGGAAAATGAGTCCAGTTTCGTATAAACGTCATTGTTATCACGGAGTACACCGATGAATGCCGTAATTGGATTTTGGATCATTGTTAGATGTGAACAATGCCAATTATTTCTTTAGCCTAGGAGTTTTTAGTGTGTCCTAACTGAGACGAACGGTTATGTGGCGAGAAATTGGAACTGGCCATTCAGCTTATTATCCTGATACTGACATGAGTACTCTCATTCAGGTGACCACTGGCTTCTTTCGGAATATAGTATTAGTGTGATGAAATCAAGGAAGATGAGACGAGTGGGACATGAAGGATGTATGAAGAACATTAGAAATGCGAGCAAAAATGTAACCTGAAAATATGAGAGAGAAGCCATTTTGGAAGATCCGAGCATAGTTGGGAGGATAATATTAAAATTTATCTTAAAGGAGGGTGTGGAATGGATACAAGTGGTCAAGGATAGAGTACATATAGAAAAATGTTTACAATGAAAATTATAGATCTTGGTGAGATCTGTATATTAAGTAATATTCCTACTTCTTTTACAATAAGCCTTGTTTGAGACAATTAATGAAGTTTGATGTATCTGCGAATAAAGTATTTTTTTAAGTTCGGTTAGGTTGGATCGGTATGGACCAAAATTAAATTCATACAGTTTATTAAAATTAGAGTTACATTGGTTGTCAACTTTCAGTGTACACCCCAGTACGAAATTTAATCGATTTCGGTCACATGACACGTTAACGTATAAAAGATGGGAACAATACGAAAGTATGAACTATGGACCATGGCAATGGACCCTATGTGCTTTCACTTTGTTCGAAGAAATAATAATTGAATGCTGTGACAGAAGCAGGCTATTTGCCCATGGGAAATGTAATTAGCTGATCTTTTACAGCGCCTACGGACGATACGGCCATGATTCTGTTCCCGACGGTGGCGTTGGAAATTGTTCTTCATTGTTACATCTATACATATTTGTCAAGTGGTACAGGCAGACTTTCCGCTCGGTTTATAGTGGCCGGAGCGTGAAGATATGGCTGTCTGGAGCTCAGGTCGGGAATGCTATAATCTTCACGCTCGCCTATAGTCTGCTCCATAATGGTGTGCTTCGGTTTAGGCCATTTGTATTCTTGAATATGAAGTAATGATGGTCGTCGTTAGTTGCATTAACCGTTTGAATTACGTAGTTAATCTGAAGAGTGTTCATTAAAGATTCAGTTCCTATCTGAAAGAGAGCGCATTTCCATTACAAAGATGTAGATGGCTGATGAGAATGAAATTAAACCTGTAGCCCTGATGATGGAGGCAGTAAGCATCTCTAGAATGCTGGTAAACTTCTTCCAGTTTACATGGCGCAACAACCCAGAAGGCAGCCAGCTTCTGGCAGTTTTGCGTGCAGATATAACTTCGAATTCGTGAAAAGGAATTAAAGAAATCAGCGGGGCCTGAACTTTTATGCCAGGCTATGTTAGTGGAACCTTTTAAATCAACGCTGCTTGTATCCAAATTTCTACCTTTTCTTTGTACTCTGTAAATTGGATAGGGCAGCACCGTTTCTTCAGACATCCATATTGTCTGTACCTTTATTCTCTTCTGAAATTCACTTCAGTGAGGAACCAGAGGCGGCAACCCATTACGTAGGTCCAACCCCCCGAAGGGGGACCGAAGATCCAGCAAGCGAAGCAAGCAGCCTGCATACAGTTTGAGACTGTAGCTGACTGGTGAGAGACGCGAGCGATGTAGTGTCAGGACCGGTGGAGATGGATCCTGCCGTACGCGGCATTTCTCCTGGACGACTGTCCAAGTATTTCCATGGCATCCCTACATACGAAATTCAGTCGCCATGTCATTCTGTGTATTACTCTACGTATCCGCAACGTGGTTACCAGCCAGAAGACAACGCCGACAGAACCGTGTTGTCTTCGCCCGGCTTTGGGTCTTCCTCGTCGGAACATTGGCAGTTTGGAACGAGAACATGTCACAGCAGTGAACTGTTGTTGAATCTTGAAATTGTGAGCTCCTTTTTTGTTGTTTTTTCCCTCCAAATTTAATTGAAAGCACTGTCGGTAACTGCAAGAATCCTTACCAGTTTTGTCATTTATGCGATATGTAGCATACATTATAACTTTACAACATTTTAGTCAGAAAGCGTGAAGGGAGGAAATAATATAAGGTAGGGCAAAGCTGGGAGGGTATATTAAAATGGATAGTTGTGGATTGGAGCCATCTGGCTCAGGTTAGGGACACTGGTCTGCCACCAGGCGGCCTCTTGTGAAGACGGTAATCCTTCCGGTTCCATAAATGGCAGGTAATTTCTTGACTAGCTGAGTGACATTAGCTTCTCAAGAAGTTTATTTACTTCTTGAATGTGATAGCTCATTTATAGATCAAATCCTAATGCCTGAAATTTTGGACAGTAAACACCGGTTCGGCTGTTGTATCATATGAGATCCACATATATAATATTTTTAGATATTACGTATTTTTAAATAATTTCAAATAAACAGTATATTATGTAACCATGTGATCACCAGTTAACTGCATGAGGCATTCTCTTAAAATCTCAGTCTATATCAACAGCACTGTTTAATTTGTCTGCACTGTAATATGTGTTATTTTTGATGAGTAGCAGTAGGTTCCTTAAATAATATAATTATCAATCGTATGGCATCAACACAACTGAATAATTCTTGTGACATTAGAGCGCAAGATAATATGTATATAACAGTAATTTTAATGTTTTGATATTTTATGCATTCGTATCTTTTGTTGAGTGGAAAAGAAAATTGTACAGCTTAATAATGGCAGCTTATTGTTGACGTGGTATGTGCATCAGACATCTTATTCTTTAGAGGTGTATTGATGACGTTTATTTAATTATATTGTATCATGTAGCATAATGAAATGCTTTAAGTCTAATTATTTAATGATGGGATTGTAGATTACGTTCTTGATTTCTGTGATGTCAGTATTTCAGCTGTGAGTCTTGGCTGCCTCCTTTTGGAGGTTTCTTAGTCTTTGAGGTGTGCTGTATATAATTATATTAGTAACTATTTCAGTGTGGTAATATGTATATATGAGAACATATTAAATTCGGGTAAGTTTTGCTACCACGCAGTAGGATTTGAGATTCTCACGGCAGCGAGTACAAAGATGCTCTAGAACAGTGGTATTCAACCTGGGGTACGCGAAGACATATTAGGGGGTACGTGAAAACTAAAAACAATTATTTTGTGATAAACACTGAATGACGCCACGGTGGTCTAGCGGTTAGAACGCTGGCCTTGTAATCCTGGGGTCTCGGGTTTGATTCCCGGCGGTGCCCGAATTTATAACTTGTGTTAGACAAGGCCGTGGTCTAGGCAACATGGAGTTTTCCTCCGGGGGCTTCCCCGGTTTCTCCGTGGCATCCCAACAATTACTCCATTCACACACAGAAGAAGGCAATGGCAAACCACTTCTGGATCATCTGCCAAGAACGTATATGAGCAGGTCCCAGTCCGAGAAAAGGATGGAAGAATCCTGTTCATATGGACCTGTCGTCAGACAGAACACTAAATAAATAAATAAACACTGAATAATCAGTAATGTAATTATTTAATTTATTTTAGATGTAGATTATATACTATGTATAACTTGAATTATACACCAACAACTTTGGGGGTACAAAGTTGAAGAGAGATTATATCTGGGGCACGCGAACAAAAAAGGTTGAATACCACTGCTCTAGAATACTGCATATTAAGGGGTTTCATAATTTATACTCTTCACTTAATAATATTAGGGTGATCAAATGAAGGAAAATGAGACGGGCATGGCATGTACCACGTATGGGAACATGGTACATGCCTACAACATTTTTGTCGGAAGACCTGAAGGGAATACATCATATGTGAGAGGATAATGTTAAAACATCTTATGGCGGTAAGGTGGAGGTTTATTGACTGGATTCTTGTGACTTAAGATAAGGTTGAGTGGCAGGCCCTTGCGAAGAAATTAATGAACTTTCAGGTGAGCCGAGTGTCTCAATGTGAGAGCACTGCGTTTCGGATCTCCGCAGCAACTCTTCAACCAAAATTGTTTTCATCATATAACTGCAGTATACATTGTATATAATTGATTTTCTCCGGTTGCAGTAAAATATTTTCTTTGTTACAGGCAAAGAAAGAAATATATGATGTTAAGCAGCAGAGACTGTACTTGGCCCAGGATGAATACAATCATCTCCACAATGTACTAACCACACTCAACACTTCTAGAACAAGTTGTAAGTTCATCATAAGTGAAATCTGAAATCTTCACGGAAATGGATAACATTTTGAATCGGTTTCCACAATATGAAAATGGAATTTTGTAAAATACGCCCAATATGATTTCCTAGTGTCGATTGTTAGTCACATTCAATTTATTTAACTGTATTTCTTGCTCATTAGGTCTGGAAATGAAAATGGCTTTGTAAGAATGAGCTAGTTAAATGTATGTTTATGATTTTTTAGTAAGAAATTAAATTTGGTTTCTTATGCATTTCAGTGTGTTCGAGCTCAAGCAGTGTGAGCACCAAGTATGATCCAGATCTGCTCAAGTCAGACGTGGCTCTGGCTCGGAATCGGGTGTCTCGGCTTAAACGAGAGCTGGAGCAGATTCGGGCCGAGATGAGCTGCACGCAACGTGGTGTCGATACGCTAACTTCGTAAGTATTGTTGGGCTTTTTAATATTTATTTTATTTATGCGAAGTTTATGCAGTTTCCTATGAGGGGACAAAGTTTGAGTGCTCAGCTGTTCATGTTATGCTACTACATGGTGTGAGCTCTATACGCTAACTTCGTAAGTATTGTTGGGCTTTTTAATATTTATTTTATTTATGCGAAGTTTATGCAGTTTCCTATGAGGGGACAAAGTTTGAGTGCTCAGCTGTTCATGTTATGCTACTACATGGTGTGAGCTCTAGATTCAGATAGTTAAGTTGCACTGGAACTCACGTAAGTCATTTATTTTGTCTGTGGGGACATGGTTGTTATGTGTTTGCTAGGGGAGGGGGGGAATTGGACTCTTCTTCTTCTTCTATGGCTCTCCGGTCCGTATTCGGTCCATGGCCTCCTCAATTTTCCTCTTCCATTCGGTCCTCCGTTAGGTCCGTCTGTCCAAGGCTTTGATTGAGGTTTCGAAACATCTTCCTTTTTACTGTGCAAGGTTGTTAGCCTTGCGACCAACAACCAACCTGGAGGACCAGGGTACCTGTCTTAGTCTGACCTCTCCCCCTCGACCAATCTGGCTAGGGAGGCCCTACCAGTAGCTATGC